TATGATTTTACTTTATAGTACTGGAACCCATTGCCCCTTTCCTTGTGACTAGCAGCTATTTTAATATTTTTACCCCTCATTAAGATAGGCTAGTTCAGGCTGTGGTTGTGGCTCAGAGGTAAAAGATAGGCTAGTTTATTCTCAGACAATGAGTGTAATGGCACCAGATAAGTTTTTTTTTTCCCTAAATGTAAAGGCAACCTTGTGAAGTTACACATTCCAGTCTACTCCTTTGTCCCTTAAGTGCCAGGGAAAATGGAAATTGGGGTGAACCCAAATGGAGGTTGCAAAAAAAATCAGATTTGAGGACTAAAAGCATACAGCAAAATAGAAAGTCATAGGCCAAGTCTCTTTCGTACCTTCCCAGCATTCATACAGCTTAGATTTCAACAGTTAGCCCCAATGCTTTTAATGTCTATTCAGCATGGACTCTGATCAGTGCTTTTATCCAGAAGCCTTAAGTCCCCAGACTAGTACACTCAAATGGAAAAGTTTTCCACAAGTTTGCCCCTCTCATGAAGGGGAGTTTCATTTTTTAATTCTCACTCAAAACTAATTTTAATTTTTAAAATTTTTATCCTCTACCATCATCCATGGATTTCATTCTTTGAACTCATGAGAACGTAGAAAGAAAATCAGTGAGACCTAGAACCCACATGTATGTTATATATCAGCAGAAGCAGCAAACTGAGCCCTGTTCTCAAACTCCAGTTTTATTCTCATGGGCAAAGAGTGGCTAAAAAGCAGAGTAGAGGCCAGGTCTTTTTGCCCATTTCTCTATAGACCAGGCAGCTTTTGAGTTTTATCTATCTATGTATCTATCTATTTATCTATCTATTTATTTTTCCTTTATCCCAGAACTGGTGTCCCTGACCATAGCGGGTTGAATTGCAGTTGCCTGGGGCCAGGCTGAAAAATGGTACTGAGACTGTCAGCACAGGGTTGAAAGAGAAAAAAAAAAAAAAAAAAAAAAAAAAATATATATATATATATATATATATATATACATATATATATATTTTTCAATCCTCCTTTGATGTCTGCTATGCTCACACATTAGAGGCAGCACCTTTTGCATCCAACTTAGTTTTTGATTGTTAAGTCTCCGTATTATATAATGGCATACATGCCTGTACAAACAGAATACTTATTTTATCTGTGACAGATCAACTCACAACTGCAAGATTGTACAATAATTCAGGAAACCATTCAAAGACCAGACTGTTATAGTAAAACATCATCTTTTCTTTAGACACGTTGACATCTATAGGTGGCCCATTCAGCCAAGATCTTTCCCAAGAAACAATCTATAGGATCAACACACTATTGCCTATGTCTTAAAGGACCAGAAATAGATATAAACAAAAAAACAATAACAAACAGGATCCTCAAACCATGGCCAACAGATAGGGGAAAAAATCTCCCAAAGTTCCTGCTTAACCGTGATTCCTATACCAGTGGCACCACAGATGTCCCCACATATTTTCCCCAGTTAACAATGTTTTTTGTATAAATCTGGTTGAGGGGCTGAGGCTGCAGCTCAATTACACAGCACTTGCCTAGCATGTGTGATACCCTGGGTTTGACCCTCAGCATCACATAAAAATAAGTAAATAAATAAAGGTATTGAGTCCATCTACAAGTAAAAAAAAAAAAAAAGATTTTTTTTTTTTTTTTTAAATCTGGTTTTACACTCAACTCAAAGTGGATCAAGGACCTAGGAATTGAACCAAGGACCCTGCAACTGATAGAGAAAAAGTAGGCCCAAATCTCCATCATATCAGATTAGGCCCCTACTTCCTTAATAAGACTCCTATAGTGCAAGAATTAAAACCAAGAATCAATAAATGGGATGGAATCAAACTAAAAAGTTTCTTCTTAGCAAAGGAAACAATCTGAGGTGAACAGAGAGCCCACATCCTGGGAGCAAATTTTTAATCCTCACACATCAGAGCACTAATCTCTAGAGTATATAAAGAACTCAAACAACTAAACACCAAAAAAACAAATAACCCAATCAACAAATGGGGCAAGGAACTGAACAGACACTTCTCAGAAGAGGATATACAATCAATAAATATATGAAAAAATACTCATCATCTCTAGCAATCAGAGAAATGCAAATCAAAACTACTCTAAGATACCATCTCACTACAGTCAGAATGGCAGCTATTATGAAGAAAAACAACAATAAGTGTTGGAGAGGATGTGGGGAAAAGGTACACTTATATATTACTGGTGGGACTGCAATTGGTACAGCCAATATGGAAAGCAGTATGGAGATTCCTTGGAAATCTGGGAATGGAACCACCATTTGACCCAGCTATCCCTCTCTTGGGACTATACCCAAAAGACTTATAAAAAAGCATAATACAGGGACACAATCACATCAATGTTTATAGCAGCACAATTCACAATAGCTAAACTGTGGAGCCAATCTAGATGCCCTTCAGTGGATGAATGGATAAAAGAAATGTGGCATATATACACAATGGAATTTTACTCAGCATTAAAAGAGAATAAAAATCATGGCATTTGCAGGTAAATGGATGGCGTTGGAGAAGAAATGCTGAGTGAAGTTAGCCAATGCCGAATGTTTTCTCTGATATAAGGAGGCTGACTCATAGTGGGGTAGGGAGGGGGAGCATGGGAGGATTAGATGAATTCTAGATTGGGAAGAGGGCTGGGAGGGAAAGGGAGGGGGCAGGAGATTAGCAAGGACTGTGGAATGTGATGGACATCATTATCCAAAGTACATGTATGGGTGTCAACATACTTTATATATAAACAGAGATATGAAAAATTGTGGTATATATGTGTAATAAGAATTATAATGCAAAAAAAGTACATGTACAGGCATGAATTGGTATGAATATACTCTATATTCAAAGATATGAAAAATTGTACTCTATATGTGTAATAAGAATTGTGATGCATTCTGCTGTCAAGTATTAAAAAAATGAAATCAATAAAACTAAAAAAAAAATAATAAATTTTTGTAATTTACATTTACATAAAAAAAGAACGAATTATGTGGCTCTTTGTAGTAGACTTGGGTGTAGGCAAGGTGTTTTGAGCATTGGAAAAGATTTTTCCCTAAGAGGGTCTCACTATGTTTCCCTGGTTATCTTTGAACTCCTGGGCTAAAGTGGTCCTCCCTCCTCCTTTAGCCTCCAGAGTAGAGTGGCTGCAACTACAGGCATATTGAAATTTGGATTGCAGTCTGTCTGGCCATAGATGAAAATTAGGCAAGGGATGGACTATGTTTGTGAAGGTCTATTTGTCTATCTAGCCAAATCACCCATTATCCACATCTGTCTCTCATCTGCAAGTAAATTTGAAAGAGAAAAATTATTTGGTATCTTTCTTGCCTATTATAAGTAGAATATCTTGGATGTTATAAGTGAATAAAAGGTCTTAAAATAATAATTTAAAAATACCCCCAATGAATCCAGATAATGAGCATCCTTTTATAAATGATGGATTAAATTATACTTTTTAGAGTTTTTGTGCTATCACCTGTCTGGAATATATTTAGGAAAAGAAGAAAAGTATTCCTATAGTTTTGTCAGTTCAACAGAAGAGTATGTGTGGCAAAGTGAAAATAATTTATTTTTCCATTAGGTAATAGTAAGAACTAAAATTAATTTTTCAACAGCTGGGAAGTTTTGGCAGACTCATTTAGAAGATAAGCAAATTACTTTTGGGATACGAGGAAACTAAAAGTAATAGGAGGAATAACTAGAAGAGAAGCTTTTTTTTTTTTTTAGAGGTGATGGGATGGTGGAGATATCAAAGGAAGTAAAGGCTTTGAGAATGGTTAAAACTAAAGGAATACAGTCCTATCTGTATGCAGATATGATTAATGAAAAGCATAAAAGGAAAAAGAGTTGAAGAAATTGGAACAAATATTAAAAATCAGAAAGCAAATAGGAGAAGTCTTTATAACCAGACTCAAGCAAACATAAGCTTAAAGCCAAAATATAAGTCATGGATTTCCACTTCTTAGATTTTTGCAAGGGGATTTGGTAGGTGAAAACAGATTTAGTTTTCTCAAGTTAATATTCAATGTTTGAGGAATTTTTTTAACTTGTTTTGACATGAGAAGAATTTGAGGGGTGGGGATTTTAGGTGAAGAAATGGGTCATCAGGTGGCTGTAATATTGTGTCAAAAAGATGAGCAAATAATGCAACAACAGACACCTAGGTTCTGTAAGTGAGCAAAACAAAAAAATTGCTGAAGAGGGAAAGGAACTTGTGGGTTTAATGGCCACAGCCACTGGAGTCTGTATTAATCATTAAGCACATTCTTAGCATCTCTTTGGAAGTGAGTTGATAAGCAGAATGAAACTGGCATTAATAGGAAGTGAGAGAAATCTGAGAACTGGTACCTGCTATTAATATTAAGCACTGAATATAAGATTTTTTGTAAAAATCTTGTAGGAAAGATTGATGGGAAAAGTAGAGAAGATGAGATGTCAAGGGAACAATTTGCCATAAATGAGATGTGAAGAAGCTAAGTGAAAAAAATAACTGTATATGGCAAAGGAATGTGGTGGGAAATAAATTTATTATGCTTAGATTAAGAAAAGGCTTTCATTAAGACAAGCTGTGATTTTCTCTTTAATATCATGCAAAATACATTGTTCCAGGGCAGTTTTTAGAAATGTGAGAACTTAAATATATTGAGATCAGCATCTCCATTCTTCTTTATTTTATTTGTTTATTTTTATCTGGTGCTGAGGATCGAACCCAGTGCCTCACACGCATGCTAGGCAAGCGCTCTGCCATTGAGCTACAGCCCCAGCCCAACATCTTCATTCTTAATAAAGAATTTGGAAGAGAAAGTTGAAATGATAAGAATAAAGCAGTATTCCCCATATAATCCTCTACTTTTTTTGTAGTCTATAGATTGACTTTATCCTTATCCTCCTTTTAAAAATTTTATTTAAGTATATAAGTACAGAAGGGAGATAGTCCAAGGAAGCCGATGCCATTCATGACTTCTATTTTAATAATTTTTTATTTGTTCTTTTTAATTATGCATGACAGTAGAATGTATTTTGATATACATACATGGAGTATAAGGTTCCATTTTTGCGGTTGCACATGATGTGGAGTTACACTGGTCATGTATTCATATCAACATAGAAAGTTATGTCCAATTCATTCTATGTCATCCCTATTCTCTCCTCTCTCTTCCCCCATCTTCCCTTGTCCAATCTGGTGCATTCAAGAATAGCATCCCTCTAGCAATTTCAGAAACAGGTTTAAAATAGAGATTACTGAGAAGCTGACATAGTATCATAAAAATATGTTAAAAAACAAGTAATATACACTTTTTGGAAACAAGACTACATGTTATGTTCTTTGGAGGTTATGTTCTTTTTTTTTTTGTTTTGTTTTGTTTTTTTAAAATATTTATTTATTTATTTTTGTTTTCGGCGGACACAACATCTTTGTTTGTATGTGGTGCTGAGGATGGAACCCGGGCCGCACACATGCCAGGCGAGCGCACTACCTCTTGAGCCACATCCCCAGCCCGGAGGTTATGTTCTTTGGAGGGGCAACAAATACAAAAGGAAATTGAATCATGAGAACAAAGAGATCAGTAAAGAATGTAAACATTTACCCTCCTACAAAGGCGTGTCTTTGGTTCCCAGTCTTTGTAGGAAAAGAAATGTGGATTTGGAGAAGTGTGGGGCCAGCTTGCTCCTCCAGGACTCCAATCAATCATTCTACATAGAGGGAAAAAAAAAAAAAAGAATGTAAACATAGGCTGAGAGTTAGTAGATAGCAGTTCTTAATAATTGATCAAATAGTTGTTGTTGTTAGTTTTTTCTGCTGCCTGTGAAGTTTTCTCTTAGTGATCTTATTCCAATGGCTTTGAATACCTTTTACATGCTCATTTCTCTGCAATCATCCCCAAGTTCCAGACCCATATGCCCAACTGTGTACTGAAGATCTCTTCTTGGGTATGTCAGAAATGCCTCAAAGTCAATCGGTCCAGATCTGAAAAAATAATTTCCCCGCTTCACCCACAAGTCTCTTTCTCTTTTTCTGTTTTACAGAGAATTCTATTCTTACTCATCACATCCTTCTGTTTTTTTTTTTCTTTCCAATACTGAGCTCTATCCCCAGTAATTTTTATTTTTCATTTTGAGACATGGTTTCCCTAAATTGCCCAGGGTGGCCTCTAACTTGCAATCCTTCTTGGTTAGCCTCCTGAGTAGTTGGGATTTCAGACCTATGCCACCACACCTGGTTAGAAACCTTAACATAATCCTCGACATTTCTTTTGTTGAATCTCTTTGTTTTCTGATCTAATCAATCAGCAGGAGGATTCATTCTTCCACTTGAATATTTCTCATTTATTTATCTCTCTGTTCTTATTAGTTTAGACCATGGGTTGGCAGACTTCTTCTATAAAAGTACGGATATTAAATACTTTAGGCTTTGCAGGCCATATAATCTGTCCCTGCTAGTATGTCTGGGAAGTAGCCACAGACAATATGTAAATGATTGTTGTGACTGATTTCCCATGAAATCTTCATTGAAATTTGAATTTCATTTAATTCATGTATTTATATATATCACAAAGTCTTTTTCCCTTCTCCCCATTTAAAAACTGTAACAACTGGGCCAGGTGTGGTTGGTGCCACATGCTAATGATTGCAGCTATTTGGGAGGCTAAGGCCTGCAAGTTTGAGGCCATCCTGGGCAACTTAATAAAAATAAAAATAAAAAGAGCTGTCAATACAGGACATTGGTAGAGCGTTTTCCTAGCAAGGGACCCTGGGTGTAATTGCCAGTACTACAAAACAAAAACCCATCTGAAACAAACTAACAACTGGGTTATAGCACAGTGGCAGAGCACTTAAGGTCCTGGCTACCATCCCCAGCTCCAAAACAACACCAATAAACTATGGTTCAACATACAGAAATCAATAAATATAATTCATCACATCAATAAACTTAAAGATAAGAACCATATGATTATAACAATTGATGCAGAGAAAGCATTTGACAAAATATAGCACCCTTTCATGTTCAAAACACTAGAAAAACTAGGGATAGTAGGAACATACCTCAACATTGTAAAAGCTATCTAGGTTAAAGCTGAGACCAACATCATTCTAACTGCAGAAGACTTGGAAGCATTCCCTTTAAAAAATGGAACTAGACAGGGATGCCCTCCTTCACCACTTCTATTCAACATAGTCCTTGAAACTCTAGCCAGAGCAATTAGACAGACAAAGGAAAAGAAGAACTCAGACTACCATTATTTATTGATGACATGATTCTATACTTAGAGGATCCAAAAAACTCCACCAGAAAACTTCTAGAATTAATTAATGAATTCAGCAAAGTAGCAGGATATAAAATCAATATCCATAAATCAAATGCATTTCTTTTTTAAAAAAATATTATTTATTCATTTTTATGTGGTGCTAAGGATCGAACCCAGTGCCTCACATGTGTGAGGCAAGCACTCTACCACTGGACTACAGCCCCAGCCCTCAAATGCATTTCTATACATCAATGACGAATCCTCTGAAAGAGAAATTAGGAAAACTACCCCATTCACAATAGCCTCAAAAAACAAAACAAAACTTGGGAATCAACTTAACAAAAGGGGTGAAAGACCTCTACAATGAAAACTACACAATACTCAAGAAATAAATTGAAGAAGACCTTAGAAGATGGCAAGATCTCCTATGCTCTTGGATAGGCAAAATTAATATTGTCAAAATGGCCATACTACCCAAAGTGCTAAACAGATTCAGTGCAATTCCAATTAAAATCCCAACATCATTCCTTATAGAAATAGAAAAAGCAATCATGAAATTCATTTGGAAAAATAAAGAGACCCAGAAAAGCAATCCTTAGCAAGAAGAGTGAAGCAGGAGGCATCACAATACCAGACCTTAAACTATACTATAAAGCTATAGTAACAAAAATGGTATGGTATTGGCACCAAAATAGACATGTAGACCAATGATATAGAATAGAAGACGCAGAGACAAACCCACATAAATACATTTATGTCCAAATATACAAAGGGCCAAAAACATACATTGGAGAAAAGATAATCTCTTCAACAAATGGTGCTAGGAGAACTAAAAATCCATATGCAGCAAAATGAAAATAAACCCCTATGTCTCACCATGCACAAAGTCAACTCAAAAGTGGATCAAGGACCTAGGAATTAGTCCAGTGACCCTGCGCCTAATAGAGGAAAAAGTAGTCCCAAGTTTTCATCATATCAGATTTGGCCTCAACTTCCTTAAGAAAACTCAAGTGCAAGAAATAAAAATCAAGAATTTATAAATGGAATGGACTCAAACTAAAAAGCTTCTCAGCAAAAGAAACAATGATGTAAACAGGGAACCTATATTTTGGGAGCAAATTTTTGCCACACACATGTCAGATAGAGCACTAATTTTCAGGATATATAAAGAACTCAAAAAACTTAACAAAAAACCAACCCAATCAATAAATGGGCTAAGGAGCTGAGCATATACTTTACAGAAGATATATATTCAATCAACAAATGTATGAAAAAATGTTCAGTATTTAGAGTAATTAGATAAATGCAAATCAAAACTACTCCAAGATTTCACCTCATGCTAGTCAGAATGGCAGTTATCAAGAATATAGACCACGGGGACATAGCTCAGTTGGTAGAGTACTCGCCTTGCATGCACAAGGCCCTGGGTTCAATCCTCAGCATTGGCGAGGCATTTAGCAACTCAGTGAGAACTTGTCTCTCAATAAATACAATAGGGATGGAGATGTGGCTCAGTGGTTGAGTGCCCCTGAATTCAATCCCCAGTACCCACTGCCAAAAATACAACAAACAAACAAAAAAACATAATAAATAAATGTTGGTGAGGATATGGGGGAAGAGGCATACTCATACATTGCTGGTGGGATTGCAAATTGGTGCAACCAATCTGGAAAGCAGTATGGAGATTCCTCAGAAAACTTGGGATGGTACCACCATTTGACCCAGCTATCCCACTCCTCAGTCTATACTCAAAGGACTTAAAAATCCCCATACTGTAGTAATGCAGCTCAATTCATAATAGCTAAACTGTGGAACCAACCTAGATGCCCTTCAATACATGAATGGATAAAGAAGCTGTGGTACATAAACATAATGGAATATTACTCAGCATTAAAAGAAAATAAAATTATGACATTTGTAGGTAAATGGATGGAGTTGGAGAAGATCATGCTAAGCAAAGTAAGTCAATCCCAAAAAACCAAAGGCCGAATGTTCTCTCTTGATAAGTAGATGCTGATCCATAATGGGGATGGGGGAGGCATGGGAAAAATGGAGGAACTTTGGGCAAAGAGAAGGGAGGGGAGGGAGGATATACGGGGGCAGGAAAGATGGTGGAATGAGATGGACATCATTACCCTAGGTACATGTATGACTGCACGTATGGTGTGATGCCACATTGTGTACAGCCATAGAAATGTAAAGTTGTGCTGCAGTTGTGTACAATGAATCAAAATGCATTCTGCTGTCATATATACCTAATTTAAATAAATAACTAAAAATTAAAAAAAAAAAAACAATGAACTAAACCAGGTATGGTGACACCTGCCTGTAATCCCAGCTGCTCAAGAGGCTGTGGCACGAGGATCTCAAGTTTTAAGCCAGCCTAAACAATTTAGCAAGACCCTGTTTAAAAACTAAAAAGGGCCAGGCATGGTGGCACATACCTATAATCCCAGTGTCTCGGGAGGCTGAGGTTTAAAGTGAGTTTAAAAGCCAGCCTAAGCAAAAGTGAGGTGCTAAACTACTCAGTAAGACTCTGTCTCTAAATCAAATGCAAAATAGGGCTAGGGATGTGGCTCAGTGGTCGAGTGTCCCTGAGTTTAATCCCCTGTACCCAAAATCTAAAAAGGACTGGGAATGTAGCTCGGCTGTAAAGCACCCTAGGATCAATCTTTAGTAATGCAAAAATAAATAAAAAACAAAACAATAATAAAAACTGTAACAACCATCTTTAGTTTGTTATCCTTACAAAAAGGATTCACAGGGCTAGGGATGTGGCTCAAGCGGTAGCACGCTCGCCTGGCATGCGTGCGGCCCGGGTTCGATCCTCAGCACCACATACAAAGATGTTGTGTCTGCCGAGAACTAAAATAAATAAATAAATAAATATTTAAAAAAAAAAAGGATTCACAGACCATAGTTTGCACACCATTGGCTTAACCAACATATTCTCTTACTCTATTGTGACCATAGTCTCTGTTTTCATCTTTCTCCCTCTAATCTTGCTTCCTCTGGTTTTCTCTTCAGACTGCATTTCATTTCCTTATTTAAAAGTACTTAAAGAGTTGACCATGTTATTCTATGGGATGTACCTACATTGTTTGTCAGATCCTTTATAATATAGACCTTGTTTATCTTTCTGTATGTCTTACCATATTTCCCTAAATTTTCTGTTCCATCTTCTTGGAACTGTTTGCAATTCCTAGAATATTCAGTGTTTTTCACTTCAAGTTTTGACATGCTTCGAATATCTTTCCTCCTTACTTCTTCTGCCTTCCATTGGGCTAAACACTGTTCTTTCTGCAGGAGTCATTTCAGCCATGGTCATCATCTCTAGGATGTTTCCTCTTTTCCCCCAAGGGTCGTTTTAAAGTGCTTTCCCAACTAAGTTCTCCTATCATGTCTATAGAACCCAATGATATAATTTATTTTGCTATATTGTAATTGTCCAGTTACCTAACTCCCTCTCCAAAGCAGTGAGCTCCTTCCTTCAGTACATAGAGTTTTTTAATTGTTTTATCTTGTTTCCTTATGGTACCCCCTAGTGCATGCAGCAACATTTTCTTTCATGTTAAAAAAATTGAGATACAACTCATGCACCATAAAATTTACTTTTTTAAAATATAATTCAGTGGGTTTTAGTATATTCATAATGTTGTATAATTATCACTACTATCTAATTTCAGAACATTTTCATCCCCAGAAAACAAATCCCATGCCCATTAAGAAGTTACTCCTCAAGGTAGGGGACATAGCTCAGTGGTAGAATGTGTCCTCACCATGCATAAGGCCCTGGGTTTGATCCTTAGCATGGAAAATAAAAATTCCTCATTCCTTCCTACCCCCAGGCCTTAGCAACCATTAATCTTACTTTCTGTCTTTGTGGATTTGTCTGTTCTTTATAATTCACATAGATGGAATCAGACAGTATTTGTCCATTGTGACTGATCTCTTCCACACAGCATATATAATGTTTTCAAATGTTTTATCATGTACTAGGACTTCATTCATTATATGACTGCATATCAACATTTTAAACTTCATTCTTCAAACCCCTTAGAAATCTAGAGTGGAATGGGACTCCTAGACTCTGACTCTTGCTTCAAAACAGTTCGGCTTTCTCTGCTACTTGTTTATGGATAAACTTTCATTTTGAATTTGAAAGTCACTAGCTTTTTGATTGAAGAATAGATTTCACCTGGTTCTAAAGGGGATGCTTTACTACTTAGCCACTTCCCCAGTCTTTTTTGGTTTTGTCTCTCTAAGTTGCTTAGGGCCTTTCTAAGTTGCTGAGGCTGGCCTCAAAGTTGCTATCCTCCTGCTTCAGTCTCCCAAATTGCTGGGATAATACTCATGAGTCATCGTGCCTGGTATACTTTCAAACTTTTGAAAGTTGTTACACTGTATATCAAGTAAAGTGAATATTTTCATGCAAATTTAAAAGAAGCATTATAAAATTAGAATTTATATCATTTCTTTTTGAAAAGAGATAGGGTATAAATAATCAGTTTTTGTTTGCATTTATGATCAAGCACAAAATGAATATCATGAGCAAAAAGAGATACATATGAGGAAAACTGTATTCTTTAGTAAAATGAAAACTTAATTTTTTTCAGGTTAAACTACAGAACAACATATCATATCAGATGGCAGACATACATCATTTAAAGGGTAAGAAACTTCATTATATTAAAGATAGAGATTATTAAAAGTCTATTCAAGAATTAAGAAATACTAGTTAGGTAAATGAGAGAATTTTCTGAACAAAGCTCCTCTGATGACAAAACATTTATCCCTTTATCCTAAGATATAATAAAAAATTATTTAATGTTGTTTTTTAAGTTGTAAATATAAGTTAAAATTTGAGCTCTGTGTCTTAATCTTGTATGTAGACAGAGTTCATGCAATAAAATGTTATTCAAAGAATCCTGAAAGAAAATTGAACTGTAGTAGATTTAGAAGCCATCGAATTTCTGTAGAAAAGATGAGTGTTTTCTCTGTGTTGGGTCTAATGTGCTAAAATAACATATTCAGATTCAGGGATGCTTTGGACAGGCCCTCCAAGCTTAGTGCTTTGGATTCTCTGGAACCAGAAAGAAACCTGAATGATAGCTAAATATATAATAAATAAAAATACTAATTTTAGTAGTATCCACATATACACCTTTTCTCTTTCATGAAGTAATAGGAAGTGACTTATTTCTCTTTCATGAAGTAATAGGAAGTAATAGGAAGTGTTTTTATGGGAAAAATACGTAAGGTGAAGAAGCACTACACTTTGCTTCTGTTGCTTCATATCATCTGCCAGCCTTTTGGAGTTTGGGGTCTGAGGACCAATTCAACCTTTTTGTTTATAGATCTGTGTATTTTAAAACCTTATACACATTGATTCAAAGTGTATCTTTGGGGATAGTACATGCTTTCTAATTTTGTAAATATCCTTTTATTCTTTTATCATTTTGAGCCTCTTTTATATAGAATTAGATGATCTATTTTTATCATCCTTAAAGAAGCCAACCTAAGCTTTCTTTGTAATGTAGTAAAGATTTTCTCCTCATCTAGCAAAACTATTTGAAAGTGTTATTTGTGTTTTGCAACCCTAAAATAAAAATTGTTCATTTTTTGGTATCTATGATTTAGAACAACTTTATCTTTGTATCAGAAATGCTTCTTATTTGTTGCATTTGTTTTTGTTGCATTCAGTGTCTTTCTTCTACTCTTTTTGACTCACAGAGTACATTAGTATGACAGAAGATGTGTCACTGTCGTGCTGCTTGCAGTTTGCAGTTTTTACAAATGAGTCCACTAGTCATCAAAATATATTTTTTGGGTTTCTTGCGCCAGGCATATGCATTTAATCCCAGCAGCTCTGGAGGCTGAGACAGGAAGATCGTGAGTTCAAAGACAGCTTCAGCAACTTAGGGAGGCCTTAAGTAACTCAGTGAGACCTTGTCTGTAAATAAAATATTTAAAAAATAGGGGCAGGGGATGTGGCTCAGTGATTAAGCGCCCCTGGGTTCAATCCCCAGTATAAAAACATTATATTTCTTATTAAATAGTAATAAGTCAGTTGAGTAAGAAGTCCTGTGGCTTCTGTTAATGTATGTTAAGGAAAATGACAACCTATATACTGAGTAAAAATCTTTATGGAACTGAGTGTGTTGAGGTAGATCTTAAAATATTTTGAAATTTTGTGTGGTACTCTTGAGCAGAGAAAAAGACTGATTTGAAGCTATACCTGTATGACTTTTGATTTTTAGTGCACTCACTGAAGCTTAGACTATTTTTTTTTTTTTTTTTTTTTTAGCAATGGAGATTGAACCCAGGGCCTTGAACATGCTAGGCAAACACTTTTCCACTGAACTACATTCTCAGTCCTTTATAAAACATAAATTTATCTTTTTAATTTAACTTATTTATTTCATGGTTCTGGGGATTGTGGTTCCAGGGCACTCTACCATTGAGCTACATCCCTGGCTCTTTATTTTGTATTTTGAGACAGGATCTCACTAAGTTGCCAGGCTGGCCTCAGATTTATAATCCTCCTCCTCAGCCTCTAGTTGCTGGATTATAGACATGAGCTGATTTTTAAGATTGAATTTCATCTTTTACAACTTGAATGGTTTCTAATGAAATAAACTTCTTGACAAGTTAATTACCAAATCCAGATTTGAATTTTTTAAAATTAATACTCAGTATACTGAAATTAATAGATACTGAGACCCTTAAAAAAACTATGGTGATAAATATTTCTTGGAAATGAAATTAATAAGAATTGTTTTTTAAATTCCTGAAATAATACATAAACTAGTTTACATGAATTAGTATGCATTTATTTATTTTGAGTGTTTCACCTTCTTTTTGGGCCAATTATGGAAAGAAAATTTGAAGTCAAAATTTTCTAGAAGTAAATATATTTTTGCTTTAAAAATTCCCAGTCTTAAGAGGGCTGGGAATATAGCTCAGTGGTAGAATATTTGTCTAGCATGCAAGTTGTCCTGGGTTCAATTCCCAGCATCATGGGGGTGGGTGGGGGAAGCTAGTCCTAAATAACATCTTTCATACCTACCCCTCATTTTTAGAAGTTAAATTAAGGGAGTATAGCCATGCTTTTCTATAACATACTCTGATATTACATTCAGAGATAGAAGGCCCTGCACTATCAGCTGGGGACTTACTTATATTCAATCTTCCCAGAGAATCTTGACCAAGAGCAGCCACAATAGATACATCTTATGCCAGGTTATATAAAGAAAACATATGCCAGTTAGTTGGAAGTTAAATTATGATAAAGAAAAGTTTTGTTTTTACTTTATGGTCTATTTATTTTTTCTGTTTCAAGTCTTTGTTTTGACTTACTTAAAGCACCAATTGACTCTCTGCTTTTGTTTGTGGTGCTAAGGATTGAACCCAGAGCCAAGTACATGCTAGATAAACACTCTACTACTGAGCCACATCCCCAGCCTTAAATTCCTGCTTTATAATCCTTTTCCTTATCCAAACAGGAAATAATCTGATGTTTTACATGGCCTAAAACTCATTCATACTGTTTTGATTTTTCTTTGTTAATTGTATTTTAAGCTTTTTCTCTTCAATTGTAAATGAAAGTTTTGTTTCCTGATGAGGAATTTCAATGGTTTTATGGGGAGTCAGCAGCCATTCTACCCCTTGAAATGATACTAAGACTTGGGTTCATTCTGAAGCTACTTCAGGTATTTTACAGACTAGGAAAAGGAAGCCTAAATAAGGAGAAAGTTCTGTAATCTTTCTGTTCCCTTTTTCCTGAAAAGTGTTTACACTAACAATCACCAATTTTAGTTTACTCTTCATAGTTACTGATTTTTTTCTTCTTTTTTTAAATTGAAGTAACCTTCAATTATAGAACCTATCTAGCCTGAGCACAGGTTTAATGAACTGGTTAGTTTCAAGGCTTTTTGATACTGCTTCTTGCAGGAATCTCATTGTCTCTCTAGAATCAATATTCATAGCTGGGGCCAGGCAGGGTTTCTTCTACTTCCAGCCTGCTAAATCTTAGGAGATGGGAATAGGGATCGGATAACAAACTGAATATATTATTTATGGTTACCTGGATACTGATTAATCACACTTGTCTGAGGTCAGAATAGATCAACCATGTTTACATATTGGAGAACAGAATGAAGTAGAAATTTAAAACAAGGCCTAAATATGTAAAGACTATTAACTATAAACATTTTATACAAATATATATTCTTTTCTTTTGTTGTGTTTGACGTTGAACCAGAACTCTAGACAAGTTCTATACCAATGAGCTACAAGTCACTAATTTTTCATATAATTTGTATATATATCAACAAATGTTCATGTAACTTAAAAAAAATTTATTCATGTTTATTGCTACAGTTATAATGCCACCAGACATAATCACTGATCACTTTGATGTAGTTTTATTCTTTTTTTTTTAACATGGATGCATTTATATGTTTACATCTGAGTTTTTTGTTTGTTTGTTTTTGGTGCTGAGGATTGAAACTAAGACCTTGCAAATGCTAAGTAACTTGCTCTGCCACTAATCTAGCTACCCCCAACTCCTACATCTGCTTTTTAAAAAAATACACATATACATGCAGAGGATGCAAGTTTGAGGCCAGCCTGGGCAATTTGGTGAGACCCTGTCTTAAAAATTTTAAAAGGGCTGGGGATGCAGTAAGCATGTGTGAGGCCCTGGCTTCAGTCTCCAGTTCTGGGTGGGGGAAGGTGTTTGTACAGTCTGAGTGTGTGTATGTGTGCACGCATGCACATGTGCATGCACCTCCACACACAACTTGAGTGTTTTTAGAGAGTCTTTAGAGTAATAAGAATAATTTTATAAGCCTTCCATGAAAAACAGATGTTATATGGTTCATAGTATTGGTGCATTAATAGCTGCTTTTTATACAGTACAGATCTTTATCCCACTTATAAAAATTAGGACTTTTTTATTACTGATATTGCTTAATTGCTAAGGTTGTTAAGTAATTTTTTAATCATCTCTCCAAGAAATCAACATTTACTCTTCTTTGCCTGATTTTTTTTCTTTGTGAACTCACGTAATAAAGGAAAGAAATCTAGAAAATGGGTAGCCAGTGATTATGAATTAAATGTTTACAAAAGATTATCTGGCTCAGGCTTTAATTTGCTATCCAGCTTGGAATTTCATATTACTCATTATAACTAAGAATGTCCTGATGACATGGTGGTACATGCCTATAATCCTAGCAAGTTGGGTGGCTAAGGCAGGAGGATTGCAAGTTCCAGGCCAGCCTCAGCAACCTAGAAAGATCCTGTCTCAAAAGAAGAAAAAAAAAAGGACTGGGGATGTGGCTTAGTAGTAAAGTACCTTGGGCTCAATCCCCAGTACTAAAACCAAACCAAAACAAACAATAACATAAAAAACATTAAGCCCTAGATCAGAAATTATGAGTTTAAAAATGGAATTTTGAGTAAGTGGAGTAGTAGAATTAGAAATGAGATTTAAAGTGATTGCCATCTAAATTGGTAGACAGATGGGATTTAAAATTAAAAAGAAGCCTTGAATTCTGTATCCATGGTGGTCATATCCATGATTTCTTTTTCTACTTCTTTTAAAGCAGATAGGTTTAGAGAAAGAGGTAGTATTTTTGGTACTGTTGACATAGCATAGTATTTGTCTATATAATATTCAAAGGTATATAATTTTACAAATATTTCAGGTTGATGTGAAAGGAGTTGAAGCTATATTATTTTTTAAAAATATTTATTTCTTTTACTTGTACACCTTTGTTTTTATTTATTTACTTTTATGTAGTGCCGAGGATTGAACCCAGCGCCTTGCACGTGCTAGGTGAGCGCTCTACCGCTGACCAACAACCCCAGCCAGAAGCTATATTATTTTAAAAATAAATCTTACTTACCATGAGTATGTTATGAAAGATAATTAAATTGTGCTATGATTTAATTTCCTGAGAATATGAATAAAGAAACTGAGAAATGTATGTAATTTTAAAACATTCCATAGTTTCTTAGTCAGTAAACTTAGTTCCTTTGTTTCTTACCTTGTGTGGATAGAACAACTTGCTGAACTTCGACAGGAATTTCTTCGACAAGAAGACCAGCTTCAGGACTATAGGAAGAATAATACTTACCTTGTGAAGAGGTTAGAGTATGAAAGGTAAGATGATACGTGCAACAGATATTTATGAAACTGAAATATTGTTTAAGTTTGGACTTAATTAATTTCTTCTTTTCTGGATTATTTTTCTTTTTTTATATTCTTAGTTCTTTTAAGTTTGTTTCACTTTGTCTTTTGATGGCTTTTATTTTGATATGCTAAACATGAAAATATTTCTTATAGGACATGTTGAATTTGTCTATGTTGTAGTGTTCATTGTGAGACATAAAACCTTAAATCTCTGAGTTTTATCAAATTGGATATAGCTAAGACTGAATGAAAATTTTGTGATTCTTTTTAAGGGACATCTTAAAGATGAAGCTATCTTTGGGAGATGGCCCAAGAATAGCTAAGAGACTAAGAGTGCTGGCTGCTTCTCCTGCTCTGCACTTCAATCCCCTTGCTTACACTTCTACATTTTGTGATGAGGATGGGGAACCTCTTAGGGACTTTTCTAGCAAACATTCATTAAAAACTTTTATGATATTTTTGATAAAAGTTATTATTTTAGATTTATACAGCAAAAATTAGAAAGACTCGCCATATTTTAAAAGCTTATCCATTTCTAATTTCTTACTGCTATAGGTTATCAGTATGCATCTGCACTTACATATATATATTTTAACCTAATAGTATTTAGTACTTTTCTGTGTAGTTATAGGATTTAAGATTTAACCTATTAGTTAGGAATCATAGTATGTGCCTATAATCCCAGCTACTCAGGAGGCTGAGGCCCACCTAGGCAACATAGTGAGAACCTGTCTCAAAAAAAGAAAAAAAGACTTAACATATTGAGGGGTAATATATTATTCAGCATATTAGTGTAACAAAACTTGTTTAATTTTTCCCAGTTTTTGGATCACTGTAGAAATTTCCCCTTTTTTCAATATTAAGATTATCACAGCTTTAAAAATTTTTATGCAAAAAAGGTTTCCCCCCCTTATTTTACTAGTGTGTCTTCTCAAATGTAGAATTCTTGGGAAAGAATATTTTACCAATTTTGTTGCTCTAACAGCATTGATGAGAGATTGCTTTCTAAAGTGATTATCTAGCCAGGCACGTGGCACACTTCTGAAATTCAGGCAACTCAGGAGGCTGAAGCAGGAGGATTGCATGTTCAAAACATGGCTGGGCAACTTAGACCCTGTCTCAAATACACAAAAAGGGCTGAGACTAACTCAGAGGTGAAACACCCCTGGATTCTATCCCTGGTACTGAAAAAAAAAAAAAAGATTTTTCTAATTTGTAATACTGATATTTACTCTAATATAGGAAAATAAGGTACTACCATATATTCATATAGAAAGTTTAATTTGCATTTTATAATTATGAAAGTTAATATTTTTCTGTGTACTTATGAACTATATATTTTTGCATGAATGATGTATTTGTATTCTTTGACTCTTAGTCCCACAGAAAGTTACCACCTTCAACTGTTTTGCTTTCTTTCACTTTTTCTTGATGATACACTCTTATCTTTTTTATTGGTTTCTTCCATTCCCCTTATTCTCTGGTTTAAAATTTTAGTGTTGTGTTTAAGATACTATTGGACAAAACAATAGTTGCCATTCTTTATCCACTCTAATAATTCTAGTCTTTCTCATCCTATTATTATAAACTGGTTTCACAGTTTTCTATAGTATTTTTCTCTTCTGTGATTGAAATTAACTTTGACAATTGTTTCTTTATAAATGCAATATATAAAATGATGCAGTCAAGTTTGTTTTCTTTCCTTTTTTTTTCTTTCTTTCCCCTTTTTTGGTACTGGGGATTGAAACCAGGGGCACTTAACCACTGAGCCACATTTTTTATATTTTATTTAGAGACAGGGTCTCACTGAGTTGCTTAGGGCCTCAGCCTCCCAAGCCCCTGGGAGTTTTCATCTTTTCAATTTATTTTTTCAGTTAACTTCATTGGTATTTCATATTTCCTATTAATGGTTCAAATATTTTAAAAATTCTGACTGTAAGTTATTTGTCTGTTTTTTTTTGTTATTATATATTCACTCTTCTGCTTACTGAATGTTTTGTCTTTCTAAATGTGTGTGTCAACTTCTAGACAATTTTGAGAATTCAACCCAACATTATATAATCTAAAAGAATGCCTTTGTAATTTAGTTTTCAGTGTGGACAGCAGATCAAAGAATTAAGAGCACAGCATGAAGAAAATATTAAAAAGTTAGCAGACCAGTTTTTGCAGGAACAAAAGGTAAATTTAAAAAATATATTTAAATCAAAATGTTTTTGTTATAAATCATGTAATTTGGGAATTAAAATTCTACTTTTGTCATAAAACATTGTATTTTGAAGTATTCTAGCCTGCCTAATTTTATTCTAGCCTGCCTAATTTTTATTTTTATTTTTTTTATATTTATTTTTTAGTTTTCGGTGGACACAACATCTTTATTTTATTTGTATGTGGTGCTAAGGATTGAACCCAGCTCCCCACGCATGCCAGGCGAGCGCGCTACCGCTTGAGCCACATTCCCAGCCCTAGCCTGCCTAATTTTAAAAAAATGGTTTGTAGTGGCTTTACTGCTAAGTTAGACATTTACAAAAAATATCATCTTTGTTTATATTTGCAGTGTTGGGGTAGAACCCAGCATACTAGGCAAGGGCTTTATCACTGCACTTCAGCCTCAGTACACTCTTAAGTCTTACCATATTTTAGCTTAAAATCAGTTTTATTATCTAACTTTTTTAAAAATTAGAGCTTTATAGTTATACATCGTAGGTCAGTTCATCCTGACAAACACACATGCATTGAAATTGATTATAGTTCACAATCCCTCTTTTTTCCCTCCAGTCTTCCTTCCCCACTCTCATTCTCCTTCTTCTACTCTACTAGACTTCCTTTCTCTCATCTATTAATTTGTATTTGATTGGTTCTTCATGTTATCCTATCCTTTCCTCCCAGTTTCTTCAACTTCCACATATGAGAGAAAACATTCAACTTTTGAGTTTCTGAATTTGGCTTCTTTCACTTAACATGATATTCTTTATTTCCATCCATTTATAGGCAAATGCCATAATTGCATTCTTTTTTATGACTGAGTAGAATTCCCATTGTGTGTATGTGTGTGTATGTGTGTGTGTGTATCACAATTTCTTAATCCATTCATCTATTGACAGGCATCTGGTTTGATTCCATAACTTAATTATTTGAGTTGTACTGCAGTAAACATTGAGATGGCTATGTCACTGTAGGGTGATTTTAGATTTTTTTAGGAAAATACCAAGAAGTAAGATGGCTGGGTCATGTGGTGGTTCCATCCCTAGTTATTTGGGGAATGTCCATATTTTTTTCCAGAGTGGTTGTACTAGTCTGCAGTCCCACCACCCATACTTATACTGGAATATAAATTTTCAAAATAAGTTCTGAAAATGCTCTGGATTTTAAAAGGCTCTGTGGTAATATCTCCTGTTTCATCTCTAATCTTGTTGATTTCTGTCTTTTCATTCTTTCTTTTGGCTAAGGATTTCTCAATCTTATTTATCTTTTCAAAGTTGTATCTAACTTTTAAAAATAATTTTTTTCCTGCTGCAGTAATGCATCTCTATAGTCCCCAGCTACTTAAGAGACTGAGGTAGAAGGATCACTTGAGCCCAGGAGTTCAAAATCAGCCTGGGCAATATAGGAAGATCTAGTCTTCAAAAAAGAAAAAGAAAAAGATGATGATGATGATGATAATTTTTATTGTTAATATATTTCTGAGATTTAAGATAGATACCATTTTACTGAAAGTTGTCAATTACTTCCTTCCATTTGAAGAAAAAAAAATTAGAAACTTTTTATTTTTTTCAATCTTTGCTAGTCTCATACTGTTTCTTAAAACACAGAAATAAAACATTTAAAAGAAAAGAAAGAAATACCAGTCACTATAACCAATTTTTTGGGCAGGGGGCTGGTACCAGGGATTGAATTCAGGGCACTGGACCATTGAGCCACATCCCTAGCCCTATTTTGTATTTTTCTTTAGAGACAGGGTCTCACTGTGTTGCTTAGTGTGTCTCGCTTTTGCTGAGGCAGGCTTTAAACTTGCAATCCTCTAGCCTCAGCCTCCCAAGCTGCTGGGATTACAGATGTGCACCACTGCACCTGGCACCAATTTTGATTCATACTTTTTTTTTTTTTTCCTGGTGGTGCCTTATGCATGCTAAACACAGGGCCTTATACATGCCAAATACATGGTGTATCACTGAACTATGTCCCCAACCCTGATTTATACTTTTTCAAAAATATTTTTAGTTGTAGATGGACACAATACCCTTATTTTATTTATTTATTTTTATGTGGTACTGAGAATTGAACCCAGTGCCTCACACATGCTAGGCAAGTGCTCTACCACTGAGCTACAACCCCAGCCCTAATTTATATTTTTTAACATAGCATATTCTTTTATTAATTTATCTACTTGAAGCTGATATATTCTGAAGTTTTTTTTAGAAATAGAGGGAATTTTTCTGAAGATCACTAGCCATCAGGACCTGAGTAATTTTTATGACTCACCTCTAATCTCACCTGACTAGGCTTGGTTCTTATAAAGTCTTGTGATTTAAAGTGAAGAGAGATTTAATAGTGAAAGAATTTGTTTTTCTCTTTGGTAATGTCCACCTGTGTTCTATAAGGTAAGAACACAGGGTTTTGTTCTTTTTTTTGTTGTTGTTACCAGAGATTGAACCCAAGGGTACTTAACCATTGAGCCACTTCCTAGCCCTTTTTATGTTTTATTTTGAGATGGAGTCTCACTACGTTTTTTATGTCCTCACTAAGTTGCCGAGGTTGAACTCAAACCTGTGATCCTCCTACTTTAGTCTCCCCAGCTGCTGGATTATAGGCATGTACCACCACACCCAGCTCACAGGGTTTTGTTCTAAGTGTTTCCACAGTTTTACAGCAGGTTATTGGGGTGTCATTTCTCTTTCATTTTCTGAATCTACAAAGTGGAATAGCTGCTGCCTATGTACAGTCTACTTTGAAGAGACATGAGGATGGATTGGTAGAGGAAGGCAGACCTGAGTGAGTGACCGTAGTAGAGGCATTGAGGGCAGCCAGAAGGTAGTACTGAGACTGAGAAGTTTGAAGAGCATAGCAGAACATCTGAGGAAGGGGAAAAGAAGTTTGCTATGCATTTGTGCCCTTCCAAAACTAGAATATAAATAATGGGGTAGATTTGCTCTCTTCTCTTCTCCCAAGGCAGACAGATAAGTGCTTTTCCTTTTTTTTCTGCACAAGAATACTTCTCTTTCTACGTTTTTTTCTTTTTTCTTTTGGTGTTTGAGTGGTACTGGGACTTGAACCTAGGAATGCTTTACCACTGAGCTCCATGTCTATCTCCCTTCTTTTTTTTTAAGACAAGGTCTCTCCAAGTTGCCCAGGCTGGCCTCAAACTTGTAATCCTCCTGCGTCAACCTCCCATGTACCTGGGATTACAGGTGTATGCTGCCATGCCTTGCTTACCTTCTGCTTTTTTGTACTAAGCTGTTTTAATAATTAATGGTTAACTCTTCAGTTCTTCCTGACCCTATACTGCCCTAATTAGGACAAGGCAGGGCAAGAATGTAGATCCCTAGGAAACTTCTTTGTGGGGTAGCACACCAGGCCTTACCCTCTAGGCCAACTGCCTGATTCTGCTCCCTATCCTTTACTCCCTGTTCCTCAACTACATGAAAGATTGGTTCTGTGAAATTAGAGTTATTTTTCATAGGGACAAATTCAGTGGTCACCATTTGAAACCAACATAAATTATATTCAGGGATTTATTTATTTATTTGTTAACTAATTAGCCAAGTGTTTGTTTATCTTGGAAGTTACTCCGGCAAAGGAGTTAGTAAACCATGTGTAACCCACAAGCCAAATCAACTTGCTGCCTGTTTTTGTACTTCTCACAAGCTAAAAATGGTTTATTTATTTATATATATATAATTTATATATATATATATAATTTTTTATATATATAATTTATATATATAATTTATATATATATATATATATATAATTTTTTTATTGGTTGTTCAAAACATTACAAAGGTCATGACATATCATCTTTCATACATTTGATTCAAGTGGGTTATGAACTCCCATTTTTACCCCAAATGCAAATTGCAGAATCACATCGGTTACACATTCACATTTTTACATAATGCCATATTAGTGACTGTTGTATTCTGCTACCTTTCCTATCCCCTACTATCCCCCCTCCCCTCCCCTCCCATCTTCCCTCTCTACCTCATCTGCTGTTGTTCAATTCTCTCCCTTGTTTTTTTTTTGCCCCCCCTTTCCCCTCACAACCTCTTATATGTAATTTTGTGTAACATTGAGGGTCTCCTTCCATTTCCATACAATTTCCCTTCTCTCTCCGTTTCCCTCCCCCCACTTGTCTCTGTTTAATGTTAATCTTTTCCTCATGCTCTTCCTCCCTGCTCTGTTCTTAGTTGCTCTCCTTATATCAAAGAAGACATTTGGCATTTGTTTTTTAAGGATTGGCTAGCTTTACTTAGCATAATCTGCTCTAATGCCATCCATTTCCCTGCAAATTCCATGATTTTGTCATTTTTTAGTGCTGCGTAATACTCCATTGTGTATAAATGCCACATTTTTTTTTATCCATTCATCTATTGAAGGGCATCTAGGTTGGTTCCACAGTCTAGCTATTGTGAATTGTGCTGCTATGATCATTGATGTGGCAGTATCCCTATAGTATGCTCTTTTAAGGTCCTCAGAGAATAGTCCAAGAAGGGTGATAGCTGGGTCAAATGGTGGTTCCATTCCCAGCTTTCCCAGGAATCTCCATACTGCTTTCCAAATTGGCCACACCAATTTGCAGTCCCACCAGCAATGTACAAGTGTACCCTTTTCCTCACATCCTCACCAGCACTTATTGTTGTTTGACTTCATAATGGCTGCCAATCTTACTGGAGTGAGATGGTATCTTAGGGTGGTTTTGATTTGCATTTCTCTGACTGCTAGAGATGGTGAGCATTTTTTCACGTACTTGTTGATTGATTGTATGTCCTCCTCTGAGAAGTGTCTGTTCAGGTCCTTGGCCCATTTGTTGATTGGGTTATTTGTTATCTTATTGTTTAATTTTTTGAGTTCTTTGTATATTCTGGATATTAGGGCTCTATCTGAAGTGTGAGGGGTAAAAATTTGTTCCCAGGGTGTAGGCTCCCTGTTTACCTCTCTTATTGTTTCTCTTGCTGAGAAAAAACTTTTTAGTTTAAGTAAGTCCCATTTGTTTATTCTTGTTATTAACTCTTGGGCTATGGGCGTCCTATTAAGGAATTGGAGCCCGACCCCACAATATGTAGATTGGAGCCAACTTTTTCTTCTATCAGACGCAGAGTCTCTGATTTGATATCAAGCTCCTTGATCCATTTTGAGTTAACTTTTGTGCATGGTGAGAGAAAGGGGTTCAGCTTCATTTTGTTGCATATGGATTTCCAGTTTTCCCAGCACCATTTGTTGAAGATGCTATCCTTCCTCCATTGCATGATTTTAGCCCCTTTATCAAATATAAGAAAGTTGTAATTTTGTGGATTGGTCTCTGTGTCCTCTATTCTGTACCATTGGTCCACCTGCCTGTTTTGGTACCAGTACCATGCTGTTTTTGTTACTATTGCTCTGTAGTACAGTTTGAAATCTGGTATCGCTATACCTCCAGATTCACACTTCCTGCTTAGAATTGCTTTTGCTATTCTGGGTCTTTTGTTTTTCCATATGAATTTCATGATTGCTTTATCTGTTTCTACAAGAAATGTCGTTGGGATTTTGATTGGCATCGCATTAAACCTGTAGAGAACTTTGGATAATATCGCCATTTTGATGATGTTAGTTCTGCCTATCCATGAACAGGGTACATTTTTCCATCTTCTAAGATCTTCTTCTATCTCTCTCTTTAGGGTTCTGTAGTTTTCATTGTATAAATCTTTCACCTCTTTTGTTAGGTTGATTCCCAAGTATTTTATTTTTTTTGAGGATATTGTGAATGGAGTAGTTTTCCTCATTTCCATTTCAGAAGATTTGTTGCTGATATACAGGAATGCCTTTGATTTATGCGTGTTGATTTTATATCCTGCCACTTTGCTGAATTCATTTATTAACTTTAGCAGTTTCTTTGTAGACCCTTTTGGGTCTGCTAGGTATAGAATCATGACATCTGCAAATGGTGATAATTTAAGTTCTTCTTTTCCTATTTTTATGCCTTTAATTTCTTTTGTCTGTCTAATTGCTCTGGCTAGTATTTCAAGAACTAAATTGAACAGAAGTGGTGAGAGAGGGCATCCCTGTCTTGTTCCAGATTTTAGAGGGAATGCCTTCAGTTTTTCTCCATTTAGAATGATGCTAGCCTGAGGCTTAGCATATATAGCTTTTACAATGTTGAGGCAAGTTCCTGTTATCCCTAGTTTTTCTAGTGTTTTGAACATAAAGCGATGCTGCACTTTGTCGAATGCTTTTTCTGCATCTATCGAGATGATCATATGGTTCTTATCTTTAAGTCTATTGATGTGGTGAATAACATTTATTGATTTCTGTATATTGAACCAGCCTTGCATCCCAGGGATGAATCCTACTTGATCATGGTGCACAATTTTTTTGATATGCTTTTGTATTCGATTTGCCAGGATTTTATTGAGATTTTTTTTTTTAAATATTTTATTTTTTAGTTTTCGGCGGACACATCTTTGTATGTGGTGCTGAGGGTCGAACCCGGGCTGCACGCATGCCAGGCGAGCGTGCTACCGCTTGAGCCACATCCCCAGCCCATATAAATATATTTTAATATTTATTTAATATTTATTTTTTAGCTGTAGATGGACACAACACAGTGCCTTTATTTTTATGTGGTGCTGGGGATGGAATCCGGGTCCCACCCGCGCTAGGCGAGTGCTCTACCACTGAGCCACAATCCCAGCCTGGTTTTTATATTTTTAATGGATTAAAAACTCAAAAAACATTTTATGACAAGGGAATATTATGAGAAATAGACATTTTAGTGTCCATAAATAAAATTGGTTACCACTTTAATGCTACAAAATTAGAGGGACTATTACAGACCAGAGGAAACTAAGGTGACGTGAGTATTTCAGTGCATACATATAGTTATCCTGAGTCAGATCTTGAAGCACACAAAGACCTAGTAGAAAAACTGTTGATATCTAAATAAAGTCTGGGGGTTAGTTAATAATAATTTATTGATACCGATTTCTTAGTTTTACATAGGTTCCATGGTAAAGTAAGCTGTTGACAATAGGGTAAGGAGTAATTAATTTTCTGTAAATCTAAAACTATTTCAGAAAAAAAAAGTTTATTAAACAAAAACAACAACAATAATTGAAAAGTCCCTTCACCAAGTCACAAACATTGATTTAGAAAGCCGTCTTGTTTTATTAAGAAAATTTATTTATATACAGGTAAAGTCCTACATAACCTTAAAGGGACATCTCTGTTAACTATTTTCATGAAAAAGTATTTTTTTTTTTTAAAGAGAGAGAGAGAGAATTTTTTAATATTTATTTTTTAGTTTTCGGCGGACACAACATCTTTGTATGTGGTGCTGAGGATCGAACCCAGGCCGCATGCATGCCAGGCGAGCGTGCTACCACTTGAGCCACATCCCCAGCCCCATGAAAAAGTATTTTTGAACGGTAGTCTATTGACTTTTAATTTTTAATATTGTTTATTTTATCCACATCTGCAAAACAGTGAGCTTACTATAGAAATAGCCTTAGGATCTATCATGTAATAAAAATGCATAGAGATGTAGAATGGCTGTTCAGGTTGTGTTCCATGGGTTTTCTCATTCTTGGCTTTCAAATTGACATATTCAAGAATTTCATTCTATTCTTTCACTCACCAATGATTAAGCTCTTGAAATTGGTTATAGCTTGGTTATAGTTTAGCAAATTGCCAGACAACGTGGGATTTGTAGTCAGAAAGACTGAATATTTTCTCCATAAATTTGTAGCTGAATGACATAAATAAGCTACTTAAGCCGGGCACAGTGGCACATTCTTGTAATCCCAGCAGCTCAGGAGGCTGAGTCAGGAGGATCACAACAGCCAGGTGCTTAGCAATTCAGTGAGACTCAGTCTCTAAATAAAATACAAAATAGGCTGGGGATGTGCCCTGAGTTCAATTCCTAGTACCAAAAAAAAAAAAAAAGAGGGCTGGGGATGTGGCTCAAGTGGTTGCATGCTCGCCTAGCATGCGTGAGGCACTGGGTTCGATTCTCAGCACCACATCGAAACAAAATAAAGATATTGTGTTCACCTAAAACTAAAAAATAAATATTAAAAAAAGAATAAGCTACTTAACTTTTACAAGTCTTAGTTTTATATTATTTTGCTTTTTTCCAAACTATCTCTTTTAGAAGGTAGATATGAAAGTTGTTTATAAACTATGAAATAACACCTTGTAAATGTTTGTTGATTTTATCTGTCAGGACTGCTGAATACTGCTCCGAATTATCAAAGCACCCGTTCTTTTTCTTTTTCTTTTTATTTTTTGGAACTAGGGATTGAACCCAGGAGAACTTTACCACTGAGGTACAACCCCAGTTCTTTTTATTTTTTATTTTGAGACAGTGTCTCACTATATTGCCAAGGGTCTCACTAACTTGCAATCCTTCTGCCTCAGCCTCCTGAGTTACTGGGATTATAGGTGTGTACGTACCATGGCTGGCCCTTTTGTTTATTATGACACAGTCATAAGATTTGGCTTTTTTTTTCCTAGATTTATTTTTTTTCCAGTACTGGGACTAGAACCTTGAGGCTTGCATATGCCAGGCAGGCATTCTACAACTGAGCCACATTCCCAACACAGTACTTCTTTTTTTGTTCTACTGGTACTTGAACTCAGGGCCTTGCATATGCTAGGCATGTGATTTACCACATAGCTAGGCTCCCAGCCCCTTCGTAATATTTTTTTCTGGTATTACCAATAATTCCATTGCATAATGCATTAGAGTTTATAGATCATTTATATATGCATTAAATATTAACTAGAGGGACCTACTTATAGGACCTACCCAGGCATATGTACTTTACTTCTTGCTTCTAAAATACCCACTGAGGCAATTCAAACTTGGCCCATCAAGAGAAATGAATTAGGTCTACCATGTATCTGAAGATTTAAGTTTCCAAGATGATGATGTTGTTAGAAACAGATTGGAGGGAGCACTGACTTGTGTATTCGGTTTACTTGCTATCCTGTGTGACCACTGCACCAGGGAAGTAGTTTGCCTGCGTTTCGCTTTTGCTATTTCCATGTGGGGAAAAGCCTGACAATCTCAACTGTCATCTGTCATACATGTAGAGACACCCATGTGCCAACCTCCTCCTGTTCAGCCACCCAGTTTGATTCCTGTATATGCCTATAGAAAACCCACTTTGCCCATAGCACCAGAACTATTTCCAACTGTAGGCTACCACAGGAATCCATACTACTCAGTAGTCTGTTTTGCAGAATCCTTCCCTAAGCATGGCCAAACAGATTTCCCTGTGCTTAATGTTTTAAGCCATTTACTATAAATAGAGACTTTAAAAAGTGTTAGTTATTCTTTGATTTCACATCACTATAAAAACATAACAAAATAATTGTATATCCCACATCTCCAAGTATTCAGAATATGAATGGGTTGTATATATTTTAAATGATAAACTATTTCAGAACATTTGATTAATAGTTGTACCAATGGTTTAACAATTTGAACTGAGAAATATTTATTGTAACCAAATCTTTATCTAACAGCAAGAGACCCACAAAGTTCAATCAAATGATGGAAAAGAATTGGGTATAAACGATCATGTAGTACCTAAAAATATTCCCAAAGTAGCTGAGAATGCTGCAGAAAAGAATGAAGAACCGTCCAGCAATCACATTCCACATGGGAAAGGTATTATTATTTTGTTTTGTGTTAATAGGATATTGACCTTTTCTTCCCATTTCTAAGTGAATGTTTTTCATTGCAAAGAAAATTGTTTGATTTTAGTTCATATATGATTAGGTGTTTTTTTGGTAACGGGGATTGAACTTAGGGTCACTCGACCACTGAGCCATATCCCTAGCCCTATTTTGTATTTTATTAGAGACAGGGTTTCACTGAGTTGTGTAGCACCTTGCTAAATTGCTGAGGCTGGCTTTAAACTCACTATTCTCCTGCCTCTGCCTCCCAAGCTGTTGGGATTACAGGTGTGCACCCGGTGCCTGGCCATGATTAGGTGTTTTTATTGTTTAAAATTTGGATCTTTTGATAAAAAAGTAAAAGCTATTTTAGAGTTAAAACTGTGTCCAAAGCAAGAAGTAAGACATTCAGTCAATGTAGCCTATTGCTTTAAGAACTAATTTTACTTTCCTCTAAAACACTTTTAATTTCTTTAAGAAAAAGTTACAGAAATCATATCTTTTTTGTTCCTTGGGCAGAACAAATCAAACGAAGTGGTGATGCAGGGATGCCTGGGATAGAAGAGAATGACCTAGCAAAAGCTGATGATCTTCCCACTGGTAAGTGAAAATTATTAGAGAATTCAACTAAGGTTATTATTTTTCATGTTACTGCATTCTCTCTTTGGGTGAAACTTGGAAAACCACAGATATCTACATAATTGGTATGTCTGGTTAATTACCTATTAATTTCCCAGATCTTTTTTAAAAAATATTTTTAGTTATAGACAAAATCAATACCTTTATTTTACTCATTTATTTTTATGAGTACTGAGGATCGAACCCAGTGCCTCACATGTGCCAGGCAAGCACTCTACCACTGAGGCACAACCCCAGCCCCCAGACTTTTTTTATATATAAAGTTTATTAAATTTCCTTACTCAATATGTAGAATCCTTATTTTGCTATTATAAGAGTCAGCCATTTTTCAACCGTTTCTTGATGAATCCATGTTATTGTTCATGAAAGCTATGCTGTGTTGGAGTCATTTATTGTTTACTAAAAGTATACCAGGCTCTTCTTTCATACTTAGTAGTCCTATATTGCTGGGTTGGTGTGCTAATGTGGGCTAGTAATACTCTTACATGAGTTATTTAGATTTTAGGGCTTGTCTTGTCTTTCCATTAAATCACCCCACATGTTTATTTTTTTGTTTTTGTTTTTGTTTTTGGGTGCTGCACATTAAACCTAGGGCCACTCTACTGTTGTGCTACATCCCCACCTATTTTATTTTGAGACAAGGGCTTGCTAAATTGCTAGGTCTACCCTTCCACCTGGCTTTCCCCACATTTTGGGTGATTTATTCACTTTTTTCCTTTTTCTTCTTTTATGGCCACTTATTTTTCGTGTATAAATTTTCATTAATTTGTTTGCTGCTTATCCATTTTCATTGGAAATCCTAATCCTACTTGCTGTCTTTTTTTTTTTTTTGAGGGGGCGGGGGTCCCGGAATTGAACTCAGGAGCACTCGACTACTGAGCCCAGTCCTATTTTGTATTTTAATTAGAGACAGGGTCTCACCGAGATGCTTAGCGCCTCACCGTTGCTGAGTCTGGCTTTGAATTCATTATCTTCCTGCCTCGGCCTCCCAAGCTGCTGGGATTACAGGAGTGAGCACCATGCCTGGCACTTGCTGTCATCTTATCCCATTCATTTTTTTCCCTTCATATCTCATTGTTTTTCTATCCTTCTCTAATGTTCTTGGCTATTATATAGATAATTCTCTGCCAAATTCCATTTATTATTGTGGAAAATCAGAAGTAACAGCACATTTTTGCCTCTTCTTGGCTGTTTTTATTCCTTCTCAGTTTCAGCAGTTATTTCTGCGATTATGGCTAAAATTACTGTGTATGTATCTGAAATTACTGTGTCTGAGGCCCAAATGAGTAAAGAGTTTTGTTATCTTCTAAAATTCTTCCATGTCTAAATTCTTGTGGGTTTCCAATTCTTAAATAAAGGAAGGACAAAAGCTGTAACATGAATTTGAAAATACTAAGGTAGCCTCAAGATCCTGGGTTTTAGCCTCCATATGACAAATGAAAGAAAGGAAAAACAGGTATAGTGGTACATGTCTGTAACCCATCTACTCAGGAAGCAGAGGCAGGAGGATAGAAAATTTGAGACAACCCTGGCACCTTAGTAAGACCCTGTCTCAAAAATGATTTTTTTTTTTTTTTAAGAGTTAGGGATGTAGCTCAGTAGTAGCGCACATACCTGGCATGCATGAAGCCCTGGGTTCAATACACAGTACTGGGGGTGTGGGGAATATATATATATATATATATATACACACACACACACATACATATATATATATATATATATATATATATATATATATAATTTATTTATTTGTTTATATTTTTTTTGTTATAACATACTGAGTTAGAATGAACAAGATTTTGTTGTAAGACAATGAAATGATTCAGTGATTTCCAACGTGCGATATCTGGACCAATGATATCACTCTTACTCAGGGACTTAACTAGAAATGCAGATTCTTAGGTTCCAGAACAAATTAGGAGATGGAGCCCAGCAATTGCTCCATCTGTTTTAAAAAGCTCTGGGTGATTTTCATCTGTGTTGAAATTTGAGAACCACTGACTTAACACATTAATTTTAAAAAGTACTGAGAGCAGAGACTCTGTATTTTCTTTTTCTTGTTTTGGTATTGGTGTTAAACCCAGGGTCATTCTACCACTGGGAAACATTCCTAGTCTTATTTTTATTTTGAGACAGGGTCTCACTAAGTTAAAGGCTGAACTTGAATTTGTGATCCTCCTGCTTCAGTCTTCTAGTTGCTGGGATTACAGGGCTGTACCCATGTGTCCATATACCATGTATTTTTCTTCTAAATTTTTGCAGCACTGCTGTAGCCTTAACTTGAGTGAGTTTAGGTTGATTAAATCTCTTTTATTTTGCCTTATTTAATTTTTAAGCTATTTTCAAAATTTTGCCATAGGTAAATTGGCGTCTAAAACATCCTGTTCAAGCTGGGTGCAGTGGCACATGCCTGTAATCCCAGTAGCTTGGGAGACTGAGGCAGGAGGATCTCGAACTCAAAGCCAGCCTCAGCAATGGCGAGGCACTGAGCAACTCAGTGAGACCCTGTCTCTAAATAAAATACAAAATAGAACTGGGGATGTATCTCAGTGGTTGAGTGCCCCTGAGTTCAATCCCCGGTACTCAAAGAAAAAAAAAATCCTGTTCAGATATAGGAGCAAGGATTGGTTATCTGCTTGTATGCATTTATTTCTCATGTCATATGTCTATAACATCCACAATGGCATATACCTGTAATCCTAACTACTTAAGAGTCTGAGGCAGGAGGATAGCAAAGTTGAAGGCAGTCTGGGAAACTTAGTGAGACCCTTTTATGAGAATTAAAACAAAAACAAAATGAAAGCTTAGGATCTACCTCAGTGGGAGAGCATTTGTACAGTATTTGAGCCTTGTGTTCAGTCCCCAGTACTGTTCCTCACTCCCCCCCAAAAAATTCCATACCCATTTTATTAGAATTAATAGGAATGAATGCTACTTCTAATGAGATACCAACAAATTTATATATAATTTTTAAAATATGAGCTTGTCCTATTAATTCACACAGTGTTTATAGCACTATAGCTTGGATCTGGGAACAACACCAAAAATGTATATATATTTTCTATAAATTTAGCATTAATATAGAAAACATCTGTGTATGCAGGTATTCTCTATATTTTTGTAGCATAGTAGGAAACTTCATATTAATTTTTGTTTATATTTTTTTGTGTGTATGAATGCAACATTAGCATCTCTTTATATGTTTATTGGCCAATCATTTTTGCCTATTTTTCTATCAGATTGTTAGTACTTCTTTTTCTGAAATTAGGAGTTTTCTTAAAATAATATGTAATACAACTATCTTTTTTTATACCATGCATATAAACAAAGAGGAAAATCTTATTTCATACTTGAAATCTCCTTTCTAGTTTTCAGGTCCAGTCAATCTCATACTCATGCTCTTAATGGTTTGCTTTTGGGGAAACTCAATAAGGGTGTGTTCATCAGCTTTCTATCATTATAACAAAATGCCTGAGATAATTTTATTTCTTTTTTTTTAAGAGAGAGAGAGAGAGAGAGAGAGAGAGAGAGAGAGAATTTTTTAATATTTATTTTTCAGTTTTCGATGGACACAACATCTTTATTTTATGTGGTGCTGTGCCGCAGTCTGGCTGGGCACAAATGCCGCAGTCTGGCTGGGCACACAATCACGAGCCACCACACAGCTTGTAGATTCAAACAGCAACTCTTTATTCCCGAACTCACACCAGCCGTCTACAATCACGTTCTGGGGAAATCCACGTTCTCTGCCCAAATCCACCTTCTCTCCCAAATTCCTCCACTGGGCTTCTATCTCCAAAATATACTGTCTGAATCCCGTGAGAACTCAAGGGGAACTCAGGCAGCAGGAAACGCCCTATTCCCAGCAGGAATAATCTTAAACCTTAAACCTGGAACCTAAACTGGGAACGCCCTAAACAGGATTATCTTAAAACCGGGAACACCCTAATCTGCCTTGGTCCTTGAGCAAGGTCACGTACATTCAATGTCACTGCAACATGGGGTACGCTGGCAAGGAAATTGTCATACCTACTTGGGTAATGGCTCCCAGCAGTGCTGAGGATCAAACCCAGCACCCCGCGCATGCCTGACAAGCACGTTAATGCTTGAGCCACATCCCCAGCCCATAATTTTATTTCTTATAAAGAAAAAAGGTTTACTTTGAATCATGGTTTTAGAGATTCCAGTCCATTAGCAGGGGTGGACTCATTGTTTTCAGGCCTTTGGGGTTGCTAGATGCCAATGCTAGATTGGCAAATTGTTTCCATCATAGCAAGAAGTAAAAGAGGAAGGGACTGGGTTTACAGTACCTCCTGGTAGGTGCCACCCTGGGGGCCAATTCTTTAACACCTGGGTCTTTGGGGGACATTCATCATCCAAACTAAGGCAAAGGGTAAAAAAAAAAAAATTATTTACCCAAACAATTTAAATTTCTTTTCTAATTAGAAATGTAGGGAAAATTACTGCTTTTGGATTTTTAATATTAGGTAGATCTAACCTATATATAAAATAATTAATTTTAATTTTCCATAACAGATTTCAACCTTGTTTGCCTACTTTTTAAAAAAATATTTACTTTTTAGTTGTAGTTGGACAAAATACCTTTATTTATTTATTTTTATGTGGTGCTGAGGATCGAATCTGGGGCCTCACACGTGCTAGGCAAGCGCTCTACCGAAGAGCCACATCCCCAGCCCATGTTTGCCTATATTTTATATTCTCTTTTTTTTATATATATATTTTTTTAGATGTAGATTTTCACACCATATCTGCCGCAGTCTGGCTGGGCACAATCAGGAGCCACTTGTCAAAAGAAACTAACTTTATTTTTAGAACCACACACGCCAAACAAAACAGCCTCTCAGGAAAAACCCTCAGAACCTCAACTGCCACCACCGGCTTTCCACAAGCCTCTCTCTCCCTCACAAGCTTCTCTCCACCTCCCACAATCCTCCTGC